ACGCTTCCTTACCGTTGGTACGCCCCAGGTGCATCCTCTTACACTTCGTGACATTGAATCTCAGCAGCCATTTTTTCGACCATTCTTGGAGCCCACAGAGGTCCTTCTGCAGCTCTTCACAGTCCACTTGGTTCTTGATTTCCCGAAATAACTTGGCGTCATCGGCAAACATTTGTATGGAGGAGTGTAGAACGTCAGGCATGTCATTTATGAAACAAACAACAGCGGGTCCAATACACTGCCCTGTGGTACCCCACTTGTGACAGGTACGGATAATCATTTCGTGCCATTAATAACCACACACTGCTTGCGGTCATGTAGAAAGTGTTCTATCCATGCTAGGACATTTCCCCGAATTCCGTATCCTTCCAGTTTGATTTTCAGCCTTTCGTGGGGTACACTGTCGAAAGCCTTGGCAAAATCTAGGTAAATATTGTCGATATTACCACCCCGTTCCAGAATATGGGTCCAAATATCCAATATTGTACCTTGAGCAATTGTGTTAAGCAGGAGCGACAGGCATAAAACCGTGTTGACAATCCTTTACAAGGTTGTTTCGTAGTAGATGTTCCATCGCGGCATCTCTGATAATACTCTCAAGTACTTTACATATTATGCTGGTCAGCTTCACCGGTCAATAATTGTTCGTGGAGTGACGATCGCCCTTCTTGAAGATGGGATTCACATAAGCCACTTTCCATTCACTGGGGACCTTTCGTTCATCCAGGCATTTATAAAATGAGGATCTTCAGGGGCTCGGCAAGCTCGTTGCTCAACTCTTTTAGCACTCTAGGATGCACCATGTCAGGGCCGGGACTCTTATAGACCTTTAGCTTTGACAGTTTATCCGAAGCGGCCTTCTACGCCCAAGGTCAGACCTTCCTATGGAGACTTTCTAATGACTGCTCCACCCTACAAACGGAGTTGGTAGCAATCTCAAAGGCCCTACAACAAGCTGCAACACAACACAACAAGTCCATCATAATTCACAAGGACTCGAAAACGGCCATGCAGGCGCTGCAACACAGTCAACCAAGAGACAACGTCCACATCATAACCTCGATCCTCGCACAGCTACAGGACTTCCAAACACAAAATCGCCCAGTCGTCTTACACTGGATTCCCAGTCATGTAGGGATCAGGGGAAACGACGTGGCAGACGAAGCAGCCAAGGCAGCCACACGTTCTAGAAGCGTACACATTCAAGTTCCAGCAAGTGTGCAACAGATCAAGAACTACCACAGAAAGACTACCAAGCTTCACATCCAAAAGAGCGTCCTTGACGCATTCAACGCTGGTTCCCAATCAGCCAAATGGTACCTGGTGGCTACAAAAGGGGAACCACCATTCGCGGACAAGAAAACACCAAGACAAAACCAAGTTAGCCTTCATCGACTACAATTAGGGTACAAGTGCACCTGGCAGACGGTCGGAAATGTCGTCAGGGAATGCACCTACTGTCAGGAGCCAGCGGCCAACCCACTTGAACACTATCTCCTCGACTGTGAAGTCACAGAATTCGAAACTTCCAAGAAGAACACACAACACCAGCGGCCACTCTAACCCGAAAGGCCCAAACAAACCACATTCACCACCTTCTCCGGGTCATCACACGATACCCACCACCCAGATAGCTAGAAAGGTATCCTCCCCCAGCAAGTGCAGACCCCAGTTCGGGGGGCGCGCCACTCCGAAACTGACCACGTCCAAGAGTGGTGGTTGGTGGTAAGCGTTCACTGACCGAGGGTCCGCTTACACTTGCAACCTGCAGTATCCTTTCATATCTGCAGGTAGGACAACCTCCATCCCCAATCCTAAATCCGGTCTAGCTGCTCCAAGAGCTCCAGCCGGAACCACCAAACAGGCCGACAATCTCAACAACAACAACAACACATGCGCGGTGATTGGCCAGTTGCCCCCTTCACCTCAGGCAATCAGCAACGTTTCTCATCTTTGCACTTCGACTCTTGATCTGGCAGACAACACCACGCTCTTTGGCAGAGAAGACCGCCTCTAAGGCAGCTCCTCCACGGTAACTCCTCTACTACGCAGCAACTTCCCAGCACCAGACTGATATATATATATATATATATATATATATATATATATATATATATATATATATATATATATATATATATATATATATATATATATATATATATATATATATATATATATACAACGTTACCGAGAACAAATTCTGGCTTGAATGTCGTGTACACTAATACTGACACGTTCCTTGATAAGAGAGAGGAGTTTGAAACACTACTGAAGGTACACCAACCAAATATTGTAGGAGTCGTCGAACTGTTGTACAAGAACAGGAGAATCGACCCAGAGGAATGTGAGTTCAATACTGCTGGATATGACTCATTTACGAACCTTTCTCAAGAAACTTGCAAGAGGAATGTGGTTATCTATGCTAGGCAAGACCTTAAAGCCAGCCAGGCGAGGGTACAGGGAGAGGATGTTTTTGAAGAGTCCAAGTGGTGTAAAATTAAATTAAAGGGAAGGGACTTACTTATTGTCGGGTGTATCTACAGATCCCCAAACTGTGGCCCACTAAATCAAAGGAACTTAAGAGCCTTAATAGACAACGCAGCTATGCTCAACCCTAGCCACCTCCTTATCATAGGGGACTTTAACTATGGCGACATCGACCGGAGAAACGAGTTCACCCCAAATGACTTGAATAACCCTGCTACTCTTCTTGTAGAAACTTTGAGAGATAATTTTCTGTTCCAACATGTTAGAGACCCGACACATTACAGAGGGGAGCAAACACCCAAGCCACTAGACCTCATCATAACAAACGAGGAGGGTATGGTGGCCAAACTGGAACATCTTGCCCCAGTTGGCACCAGTCACCATGTAGTGGTGTCATTCAGATTTAACTGTTACTTAGTTCAAGATAAAGCCAGGCCAAGGTGCAAATATTACAAGGGAAATTATATAGGGATGAGGGAAGAGATGAGGGGTATCAACTGGCCTGACTCATTAAGGCACAAGAACGCAGACACTACGCTGAATAACATAACTAGTAAAGTGACCCATTTGATCGATAAATATATACCCAGTGCCTCTAGGAATACGAGGGGATCCCAACACATGAACCATGCGGCGGTCGACAAAGTTAAGAAGAAAACTCAGAAATTCAAGACGTGGGTTGTGTAAAACGATGAGCAGGACAGGAGGATGTATGCAAGAGCCAGAAACCAAGCAAAGATAGAGTGTAGAAGGGCTGAAAAGGAGTTCCAGAGACTGGTTGCAAGCGAGGTCAAGTCAAACTCAAAGGCGTTTTACCGCTATGCAAAGTCGAAATTAAAAACGTGAGTAGGAGTATCAGACCTGAGACTTGAAGATGGTAGTTATGCAGATTCTGACCAGGATAAAGCTGGGGCATTGAACAGCTTCGTTTCCTCGGTGCTCACAAGAGAGGGTGCGATTAACCTTCCTGAGTTTGAGGACAGACGGTTCGACACAGCACTGACCCACATTGTGTTCACAGAAGAGGGTATAAGAAATAAACTGTGAAAGCTAAAGATCCATAAGAGTCCCGGCCTTGACATTGTGCATCCAAGAGTGCTAAGAGAGTTGTGCAATGAGCTTGCCGAGCCCCTGAAGATCCTGTTCTGTAAATGCCTGGATGAACAAAAGGTCCCCAGTGAATGGAAAGTGGCTTTTGTGAGCTCTATCTTCAAGAAGGGCGATCGTCACTTCACGAACAACTATAGACCGGGGGCACTCAAGGGGCACTACTCAATCGAGTGTCCTTAATTGGAGCTGGCAGACGCTCGCCCCACAAGGGGTCACACCTCAATATTGAAGAAGCCGCAAGTCCAGAAAACTGTGAGGGCAAACTTTTTCGGAGTGAGATTTGTGAACTCTTGGAACAATCTACCAGAAAGTGTTGTGACGGCACCAAGTGTGAGCTCTTTCAAGACCAGACTTGACCAACACTGGAGCAGGTTCAGGTACATTCAGGAGCCGGTGCATGCCCAGTACTTGCCAACAGTGCGTAACAGAGACGTGACCGATCGCCCAAGTGGCTAACGAGTCGATCATTTGGTGAAGAGGATGTATTGCAAACGCATAAAGCTAACGCTACCGTGCCACTGGAAACAGCCATGTACATTTCAATGTGATCTCTTTTTGGAATGGAATACCAGCTTAACACTGTGCATGATACCATATTGGTGTTATCCCGCCGATTTCCAACTGGACGTTAGTCTCTTATGAGATTTTTACCATCTTACATAGACGATTAGGTTACTAATACGTTATGCTTGTCTATGTTAGGTTGACTATCGTAAATACAGACGATCGTCCATATGGGAACCGCCCAAACGGCTAGTAAACTGATAAGTGGCGAATAGGAGACAAAAAAGTGGGATGTAAATAACCTTAACTTAACACAAGCTCGAATGGAGTCAGACGTAAATATATACTGTTAGTAGTCGTCTGTTGTTACAGAGATTTTCAGCAAGATGGCATGTGACCGGCTGCTTCTTTAACCAGTACGAGGCGAATAGTAGTCAAATAAAGATGTTTATTATGAGATATGACTGGGAGTCATGTCATTGGTTGCAGTGGTTGGTAAATACCTGTTGCTAGTAAAAAAAACACACACACCAGGGAACTAGAGTGTCTACTGTGAAATTAACTCACTTAATAAACAAGAGCGTCTGGTGGTGAGTGGGCTAATGTTAGATAAGTACCACGTGGAAAACCATTAAATCAGGAATTTTATTTTAAAAGTTAATGATCTGTATATTATCTTACATATTCTAATGTAACGTAAGGGTCTTCCGATATTTTTGACTAAGTTTGGAAAATCTTGATTGTTTTGTATTCCTCAAAAAAAGTTTATAGTTTTGTGTAGCACGTTATATTTTTTAACATTGATCTATTATACCTTAAGGCACCTGAGTCTGAGTTTAACAAATCAGAAAAGAAGTTTGTAATGACCAATTGATGATGATAAAGTGAACAACTGAAGCACCTGTTACAGAAGAACAACCGTCATGGCTACAAGTGGTAGGTCAAAGATTCGTAAATGCTACTTAGCATTGTACTATACTGTAAAGGTTAGCGGCGTGTCCTGACTAGCTGCTTTGGTTTATTGCAATATATATATATATATATATATATATATATATATATATATATATATATATATATATATATATATATATATATATATATATATATATATATATATATATATATATATATATATATATATATATATATATATATATATATATATGGTCAATTTATAGTATCACACAGGTCTTTATTTCGATATTAAAAATAAGTTTTTCCTATGTGTTTCGAGCGAATTTGATATTAATTTCCACCGGAAGTCACGTACTTTGTTAGATAACCTGTAAATTTGCATTAGTGCACACAACTCTGTTAGAAAGTCAAAACTATGTGTTTATAGTGCACTTTTGTGTTTTGATTGGTTTTGACCTTCATTTCCGTCGGAAATTCCCCGTTTTTTAGTTATCAGGGGTTTTTTGGTGGGAAGTTTTCCGATAAAAATTATGACTAAGCGAATGCAAAATGCAAAAAAAAAAAACCTGACCTAACGTAACCTAACCTAACTAACTCTCACCATATGATGGAATCACTTCTTTCTTACCTTATTGGCCTGGTTCTGGTTTGTCGTTGGATTCTGAGATTAGTAAAGGTTGCTGATGCTGATTCTCACTCAACGGGAGGGGGGGGGTGGTATAGGCGGACAGCTTGCACTTAGGACACTTTATTGAGGTTGGGAGAACACCATGAAATCTAAAAGATAATATAGCTTGTTCGTTTTTTCCCCAAAACGCTCGAGCAATTCCATATAATTGAAGTGACACCCATCGCAGACTTCCATGGTCGGAAAGGAATTTGAATTTCAAAATAGAGACCCAAAATAAAAATTGAATTTGATTGGGCCAAACATACCGCGAATTAAACCACAAATCATTTCAATTGGTGGCCAAAAAAACAACAACTTTTGAGTGGTTGCGTGACATGTACAGGAATGCATGTGTGTGACGATTTATGAAGGAGACACGCAGAGTGGGAGGTGAGGTAGGCGATAAAGGAGAAATATTTGGCATGTGCTATCTCCATTATTATATGCTTGCGACGGTAATGTAATAGAAGAAAATTATCTTATAATTAGATGTCTTTTTCGAATATGATAATAGATTTGGGGTAGGACAGTTGTGTGCACAAATGCAAGAATACCAGATAACCCCCCCCTTCCTCCCCTCCCCACACCCAACAATCATAATGGAAAAAGTTGGATTTCTTTTTCGAATAAATAACATAAATTATATTACTAACCAACCAAGAAAACCTAACCAAACCCGTTGTTCATGCCCCAGACGTTTAAAGAGTGAAGACGGAGGCCTGGAGCGATGCGTGAGCGTGGGGTCAGACCACCTCCGCCATAAGTAAACACAATTAATACTTAAGAGAAATAGAGAAATACAGTCGCCAAGTTAATGTCCATTCAAATAATGGACTCAACTCCCTCCCCGTCTTCTCACACTACACTCGCTGGCTCTTCCCTCTCTGAGAAATTTTGGGGGGAAAACCACTAGATTTTAATAAATAATACCTCAAACTAAAGTTAGGATAATATTATTGACATTGCTGGATTCCTTGTAAGACCAGGAATATTTTGAATATAAATGTCAAATATTTTGCACAAAAGATAACATATTTACTCAGAGTAAACATTATATCTAAAATTTGTATGTCTAATGCAAAATCTATGATGTTTATATTCAAAATGATCATCAAATTGTAAGAATTCCAGCAATGTAAATTATATTCTGGCCGGGTAATTTGTATGAATTTTATGAGCTAAAACAAATATCTTCAGTTAATGAAAAAAAAAATATATTCTTCACACCGCCAGATGGTCGGTCGGTCCCTCCCTCACCCCCCACCAACCCTCCCTACCAGATGTGTGGGAAAACCAGAATATTTACCTTTTTAGTAATAAATAATACCTCAAACTAAAGTTAGGATAATATAATTGACATTGCTGGATTCCTTGTAAGACCAGGAATATTTTGAATATAAATGTCATATATTTTGCACAAAAAATAACATATTTACTCAGAGTAAACATTATATCTAAAATTTGTATGTCTAATGCAAAATCTATGATGTTTATATTCAAAATGATCATCATATTGTAAGAATTCCAGCAATGTAAATTATATTCTGGCCGGGTAATTTGTATGAATTTTATGAGCTAAATAAAAAAAAAAATATTATACTTCACCGCATATATGAGTAGATGAACCGCGTTAAGTGAAAGTTCGGTTCTGGCGAGGCACCGTGTATATGAGAAATTGCGTTAAGTGAAACTGCATAAAGCGGGGTATTACTGTACAACTACTCCTCGACTTACGACATACTTGACATACTACCACCCGGACATACGACCGCCCCTGTCGTACCAAATTTTTTTCAAATTATGTATTTTTGAGTCCCGATGTTAGTGATCGCTCTGTGTACGGACAAAATTTTCGTTTGTAATTCCATTTAAAATGGCTGGCATGCTTAAAAGTGAGAGTTTTGTGGTGCTGAGAAGAAAAAGAGACACCCATTTTAGATTTTCTATGTATTATCTTCGCATTTTCGACTTACGACCTGGATTTGGGTCCCTAACCCCGTCGTAAGTTGAGGAGTGGCTGTACTGAAAGAAATGTAACCTAACCTAACCTACCCCCTTTTTCTGTGTAAAAAAAAAAACATAAAACAAAAAACAAAAACCAACCAACCTAACCTGACCCCCTAGTGTGCAAAAAACTTACCTTAAATAAGAGATACAGAAGGATAGAGTAATGCAGCTTGATTGACGAAGTGATGTCTTCCTCAGTGCCCTTACCACAGCACCATGCATGGTGATCTACACGGTACTGACACTGAATTACATCTCAGACATTTAACAGATGATACAACAACACTGCGAGCCTTAAAAATGTCAACAGCTGCTGCTTCATTGTCCAATATGCGGCAGTCAGCCAATGTACAACCTTTGCACACAGACTCCATCTTCCAACTGGATGTGAATGCTGATTAGCGCACAAGTATTACGTCACATCGGCACTCGAGCTGATTGGCGCGTACGACTATGAAGTCACATCAACACTAATGCTGATTGGTGAAATATTATAAAATAAAAGTTAAAATAACTCAAATATAATAAATTTCTGTTGGAAATGTTATACAATAAAATATTTTTATTTTTTTTTCTATCTCCCCATATATGACTCAATATTCAGTTAGGTGGTGGCAACTTCTAAATGTTAACCACCTGACAGGCTGTGTTTGGCTATAAATATGGTGACATTACGTCCCCTGTGGTGACCATTACGTTGGACCACTCCTAAGATATAAGGGAGTGAATCTGGTCTTGTCAACATGTGCAGTCAAAGACAAAAGATGTGTCCGGGAATTTGGTGAAAACATCTCTTGAATGGCAAACCATTTAGTGTGCACTTTCTTGTGTCATCAGAACAGTTGGATTCAGGCTTGCCAACTGCCAGGATATAGTCGTGGAATGGATTTCAATATGGTTCGTTAAATGTACTGTGATCATCAGACAGAACAAGAACACTACTTCTGTCTGACTGTACAAGACAGGATCAGCATCTTATGGCTGTGATTGAATTTCATAGTAGGGGCTTGGATACCTTACATTTTAATTTGGAGTTGCATTGGATTCAAAGTCATTTGTATGTTCCTTTTGCTATTGTTCTTCCACAAGGAGTCGCATTGCCTCATGTACACAATTATGGTGTGTATTGGAAATTCCATAAGTTATTGTAAGCCATGGACATGTTAGAAGGATGTGCAAGTGTCCAAAATACGGTAGGGAAGTGACATCCAACCGACATTATTTGTTTCAGTGTAACACGCAACCTCACTATTATTAAGGTAAGTTCCTGCTCCAGATCTGGGGGGCAATGGTAAGTTAATATGGCTAAACAACATAAATATGCTTGGCCTCACCATTTTCTCTAATATGTCATGGAACCCACACATCCTCAACATTGCTAAAGCTGCCTCTCGAAAGCTGGGAATTCCGTACAGATGCTGCACCTACTTCACTCCTGAACAGGTGCTTCAAGTATAGAAGGGATTCATTTGTCCTAACTTTGAGTACTGCTCTCATATCTGGGGTGGCTCTTCTTCTGTCCAATTGTTAGTTAGGGTGGAATCAAGGGCATTTCATCTCATTGACTCTCCTCCTTTAGTTGATAATCTTTCTTCCCTTTCTCTTCACCACAATGTTGCTTCACTCTCTTTCTTTTACAGGTTCTTTAATGGGCAATGTTCAGTGGATTTGGCATCCTGTGTACTACCTTGCCGGTGGTACACAGGATGCCAAATCCATGAGCTGTAAGCTCGTAACACTCGCCTTGCCCACGGTGCCCACCATTTCTCTGTGGAAGTCGGTCACACTAGAATAACACTTTCTTTCCTCACACAGCCAATCTGTGGAATGCTCTGCCTTCTTCTGTGTTTCCACACTCACACAATGTCTCACTTCAAAAAGCTGGTTTTCATGCATTTGCGTGGTGTAGATTAATATAATCTTTACCTTTTCTACTTTAATTTCCTTTTACTCTTATTTTTTCGCCCCTAGGCCCAGTTGTGGGTCGATGACCTGTGCCTGGTGGGGGTGTAGTGCCCGGCCTGGTCTATCAGTGTAAACAAGTACGTACTGTACTGTACCTGTACTATACACTTCTTGTACTATACACTTCATCCATGTCGGTCAGTTGTGGAGTACACATCTATGGTCTACAGCACAAGCTTTTCTCACTTGTTTTCCATCATTGCTCAGTGTTTTTGCCATTATGTCTGATAACCCTGAACGAAGCACCTCTAAAAGTACTGTAATTAGTAATATTTAAATTTTGATTGGGGCGGATGAAGAAAAAATACAGTAAAGCCTCACTAAGGCCGACCCCGCTTAAGCCGAAAAAAAATTATTTGCAAAAAAAAAGAAGAAAAGTAGGACAAGCCTCTTGCAGTCAGAGGCATGTCCAGCTGGATCTGCCTTCCATTTTTGGGGTTAAGTGTACAGTACTTTGTGTACATTACTCCTTTTTTTAATTAATTTAGATTAAAAACATGTATTTCATTCATAAAAACTGGATACTTTGGTGTTGTACTTGTTTTTTGTTTAAAATAGTTTTATTTATTTTTATTTTTTTTAATTTGCTCTAAGGTGGACAACCTCTTATCCCGGACACCCCTTCCCCCCAATTAGTCCGCCTTAGCGGTTTTTACTGTACCATTGTTTTTGTTTGTTTCTGGAGATGTCCCTCATATTTCATAGCATCTCATTTCGAATTATGGGTGTTTACTATGTACAAAATTACTTTTGCATTTATTTAGTGCAGAAATTTGTAGATACTGTATTGTGCTGTTTATTAATAGATTGTGCTACAAGGTTTAATATTTTAATACTAAAACATGGTATCTTTTGTTTACTCTCAGAAGAAACAGTTCGGATCTTTGAACTCAAAGATGCTCGGTCAGTGCAGGATCCTGTCCATCCATATGATGCGAGTCATAAAGAAGTCCCTCTCATAATTGATAATGGTAAGTGGAAAGTCATGTACCTCAATATCATATCTGGCAGTTTTCTAGACAACTTTATAATTTTGCATGATCCCAAATGCAATCCTCATTGTAGTATACAATATTATACTGTAACCATTTGAGCAGTGAGTTCTGAGTTTCAAATTTCATGCTATGTCCGGCATACGGTAATGAGTTTTTGAAATGCAGAATAACCTTTATAGTCTACACTCCTCTGGGACTGTTAATCTTATTTGAAACTTGAAATTTTAAGTTGAAGCTAATCAATATAACATGAACCATTATAAATGTACAGTTGGTCTATTTTTGGGTTAATGTAACCCGGAGGTACCGCGGAAAGTGAAAGCGTAAGTGAATAACATAACATATGGGATTAATTGAAATGGAGTCGGGCGATCCCCAAACTCCACTTTTACGACACAACTATGTTGTAGTAAAAATATTATCTTAACTTTATGATGGCATGCACACAATTAATAATTAAGAGAAATATCAATAATAGGTTTTTAACACTTACATTAGTAAAAAAGATGGCTGGGCACAGGATGGGCGGTTGGTTCGAGGCAGAGGGCAGATTATTGGCCCTCACCTGTATCACTTGTATCAATTGTATCACTATCCACCACAGAGGCTTGCAGGGCCTCTTTGTCAAACCCCCAAAGTTCATATAAGTCCATATCCTCACTATAATTATCACTATCACTGACTTGGGCGGCTGTAGTGGGTGGCGGGTGAAGAACTGGTCATGTTTTGATGACTGGGCGACCTTGTGCTCCATTTTCGCGCCTCTTACACAACATGGCGGATGGCGGGAGGTTTGGATCCAAATGGCGGCTTGCCAGCCGCCCTCTCCCGTAATGGGGTTCACGACATGGAATGTGAAATGTTAGGTTCTGGCAAGGCACCCGTTAGCGGTGAAAGCGGAATCTGGGACAGCGTAATATGAGGACCAACTGTATTTTTATTTTTTATTTTTTATTTTTTTTTTACAGACATTAGCCCACCCAGGTACAGATCACTGACCCACATCAGGACCTGGGGGCGAAAATATAAAAATAATGATACTGTAAAAATAAAAATAAAATATTTATATTATTATTATTATTATAATAATAATAGTAAAGAACCATTAATAAATACAAAAAAGAAAAAAAAGAAAAAATCAAGAGTGTGAAACGATGTGCAATGTATGTTGTGTTGTCAAAGTAAAAGAAACAATTGAGACCCTGTAATTGTATGTAAATGAGGCACAAAGTCAGATCAGCAACCTGGGACTTGGTCACAATTTTCGTGATACCATATGGCAGCAGGGTCTACCATTAGACAACACATAATGCTTCCAATTTCTTCCCAGGCGGTAGTACCTCCCTGTTTGATAGCTGCCTACTACTGACAACCTGAATTAAATACAATACATAATATATAAACAATTTACAATGGAATCATTTGAAATATGAACCATTAATAATGTGGATCATGTGTAGTATTTTTTAACAATTACATGAGGAAATCAGTCTTGTTTAATCCCCCCCCCTTGTTCTTGGTGAGTTTGTCCTTCCTTGTCCAGTGGTAATGCAGGAGAAGATTAGAATACTGTACTGTACTGTACATGATTGGTAGAGTAACACTGGATAACACTTACTTTATCTTCTCACATCTGACCTGGGAATTGAACTCAAGGAGCAGTACTGTACAGTACACTACCACTGTACCACCACCATTATGTAAAATATGAGTAATTTATAATGTGAACCATTTACATTATGAACTATGTCTAAAATTAAATATACTGTATTCTGAGTCGTGTATAATATGAATCATTTGCAGTACTGTGTGAACCATAACAAAATAAATTTACCTCAGATTAAAAAAAATTATCTTTAATCTTTATTATTTTATGTAAATCCCATTAAAGTCTCTGGTAGTTACTGACCCTAAAATTTCCTTTGTTTTCAGGGTCCTACCACTGTCGTGTAGGATGGGCAACTGATCAAGAACCAAGAATTGTTTTTCGGAATTGCTATGCCAAGCACAGGAAGGACAGAGGGAAGAAAATTGCGACGGTAATTTTAACTGTATTTTTAAATAACCAACCTCATTAAATCTAATTCTTCTGTGTATGCAGGGAGCTATTAGGAAATGGAAACACAAAGGCTAAAATATAGTGTGGTACATTTTACTCCTTGTAACCAAGAACAAATATGAAAAGACTTGGAACTTTGTGTTTCCTGTTTGTGAATATCTTGTCTCTTCATATGTATCCTAGCAATCCAGGTTGAACTCATCCTTCCACTTTCAGTTTTGAGCTGACAGTCCAAGAGGATGCTACAAAGATTTAGATATTTCTCTTGTATATTTTATTCTACAAAAGGTAAATACCAGTTCCCATTCTTGATGCTCAATGTTCTGTTAACTTTATGTTGCAGGTCTAGGTCTCATAATGTATAGTGAGGCAAATTTTACTATCACAACACTCTCTGTTAGGTTATTCAAAGAGTTTACTCCAAAGAAGTTATTTCTTATAATTTTCTACATTTATAACATCTTTAAATATGCTTTTAAAGGTTAATTTCAAATGTAGACAGTTGACAGCTGCTGCAAAAGTAGTTTCCCCCACCCACGAACATGCACGAACTGTTAAAACAAGCTACAACTACACAGTTCTCTCATGCCACCCTAAATAAACAAAACAAAATCCATCTTAGGTTGTTTTGTTGGAGTAGTAATATTGAGTCTGAACAACTGCAGTCCAGAAAGCATTGACATAGATCACATATGATTCACAACAACTGAGTTCTATTGCTCCATCACTTACCTTGAGTGTGAAAAACTGAAGTCTATGAAACAGTGTTGAAATAAGAAAAAGTGGTGTGTTAGAGAATTTTTTGTGTGAATGTTTTGGGGCTGTGATTCTGTACCCTACTTTCTATTGAAAGACATGGATCGATTTAATATGACTCAATTTTACAGACAGTTATCTGTCCCACTCTCGTGTTCAATCGGGGGTTTGCTGTACTGTACTTACAAAAGTAGCTTACTACATATATTTTGGGGAGCTGCTGTATTTACTTTATTTTTTATTTATTAATCATTAGAAAGGGATGTGACTGCTGAGTGGATAGAATGCTCACCTCCTGTTTTGAAGGTTACAGGTTCATGCCCAAGGCACTCCTAGTTTACCCAGTTGTGAATGAGTGCCTATCTTTACAGCCTAGAAATGTGAAGTGTATCGCATTAGATACAGAGACCTATCCCCATGATTGACTCATTTTTGACTGTGTTTTATAGCAGTGATGCTTGATTTAGAAATGTAAGGGCTGTACATTTGGTGTACAATTACATCTCATTTCCTATTATGGAAAGGATGCCTTAACAAAGATGAGAATACAGGTGCTCCCGGACTTACGACGGGGTTAGGGACCCAAATCCAGGTCGTAAGTCCGACATGGTCGTAAGTCCGACATAGATAAAAAAAAAAAAAAAAAAAATTAAAAATTAAAAAAAAAAAATAAATAAATAAAAAATCTACAATGAAATACAGTACACTAAACGTAATAAATAATGAGGAATGGATACAGTGCAGTAAAAGTAATAAATAATGAGGAATGGATACAGTGTGACTGAGCACTTACCTTAAATGTAGTCAGCTGAATGCACACGGCCCCCATAATTTTCTATTTACAGGATACATGGAGACTACATTAATTGGAAGAAGCAGAAGAGGAGACAGGGCTGGGTGGGGCATCAATGTCGCTTTCTTCAGACAGGTTTATGTGCTGTGGAAACTGGCTGGTTGAAGGTATTGGATCATCTTGAGAGTGAAGAGGCAGCACTGGTGGCGTGAGGAGACAGCACTGGGGCTTCTTGAAATAGATGTCAATTTAGACTACAGTTTGCTTTTTCTTTTCATTATAAATCTCCCTGTAGCAAGCTAGTGACTCTTGGACCATTCTGTCAACTTTGGCATAACGCTCATAATTTTGATCCATGCCGTCAAACATTTGCATTCCTTTATTAACTGTAGCAAATGCCTCTGCCATATGTTTCACTGAAAACTTTTTGGGGGTGCAGGTTCTTCTTCTACATTTTGTCTCTCTTCTTCCTCTGTAATTTTCTGTGCATCTAGTTCAATAAGATCCTCGTTACTGAGCTCTTCTTTTTCAACCAACTGTCAATCACTTCATCTAACTCCTCCTTAAAAGCTTCGGCATACCAACATCGACACTAGCTGCCTCTCCACTCACCTTAACATTGTGTAGACTGTAGCATTTTTTAAATCTATCAAACCACCCATGACTTCCTATAAAGGTTTGATCACATTCATCTCCTGCCTGCTCCTTCAGGCTTTGGAACAGGCTTCTTGCTTTAGCCTGTATGGTTAGAAAGCAGGGTACACACTTCTATATCTGGTCTTCTATCCATATCACCAATAATTTTTCCATATCGTGAATAGGACCTTGTCTTCTCTTTGATATTATAGTTCCTTTATAGGTGTTGTTCCTTTCACTACTTACGAAAACGTTCCTTGTCCTTCAGAATAGTGGATATAGTCGAGTGTGATAAACCTAGGTCACGTGAGATTGTTGCTACTGTTTTTCATTCTCATGCTGTGTTATTATCTTCATTTTCATCTCAAAGTAATTGCCTGTCTCCTTTTCTTTGGAGCACCACCAGCATTCTCACTTTTACGCTTTCCAGTCATTATAAAGTCAATTAAATCGATAATAACGAAAGTTCTAGCGCGATCAGTATAGGATCGATAGCCAAACACAAACAAAGCGCTCCACTGGTGAGTGTACCTGAAGCGACCGAGATGCGCCACCCTTTCTCCCGGGACGGAAACGTTTCGGTATAGAAAATCTTGGCGCATCATTTGAAAATATTTTTGGTCACGATGCAGGCGTATGTCCCGTATGGACGTACGGTCAAAGTAGGTAAAGTACCCATGGACGTAAGTCCATGTGTTAAGTCGGGGACTACCTGTATATGAAAGTGGGTTCAATTGGCTTGTTGGCCTATTAGGAGCAGGGCAGAAACAGCTCACTGTATGCTCAAGCTTCAGTACACAAGGGGGCAGTGTGTCTGACACCACATTTGACTGCCTTCACTTCCTCATCTATAAAGTTAGGTACTGTACCAGTTTACAGCTGGGTGAACTGGATGTACACTGGATATAGACCAGTAGCAGGACAAGAGACAAGTGCTGTATCCACTTAGCCAATCCATCCCTAGGTAAGAATATAAATGAGCCTAAACTCTGTTTAATCTTGTCATTTAGGTATAAAGTACAGGTACAGCAATTACCATGGATGTAGTTAGGAATATGCATTTACATTATCTAAAAATGAGTACCTAATTATGTACACCCAGTAATTTTATGAGTCACCATACTGTAATCTTATATAATATTTCTCCGTTGCAGGAAACTGAAGTGTTAGTTGCCAATGAAATAGGAAACATTGAGGCTGTGAGGTTCCAGTTAAAGTCCCCACATGATGAGAATATTGTTACTCATTTTGAAGCTCAGGAGACAATGTTTGACTACACTTTCTCTCACCTGGGCATCAACACATCTCGGGTGGACCATCCAATTATCCTGACAGAGGCATTCTGCAACCCTAACTACTCCAGACAGTGTGAGTTTCATTTATTACACCCAGTTTATTACACTATTCGTGAGCCACATTTATAATGGTTGGGTTGAGTGGTGATCTACGGTATGTAGACTGGGGCCTATTAGAACTGCAGTAGTGCTTATTTAATATTCAACCAATATTATTCTCACCCGCTTAGGCTTAGTTAACTCAGTTTTCTAGATCTGACGTACTTCAAGGAATGGTAAGAGATGAAGTACCATATATTACTGGCATACTGCCTTCCTTACATTTTTCTTAACATTCCTAGATAGTTCATTACTGTATACCTATTTCTGAGGTGCTCCTCCCCTCCCTTTAATTTCTTATAAATTCCTTTCTTTATTCCTATGTCATGTTTAAGTTTTTGGTCATCCACCTTGGGTCATTCTTATTTGACCTAATTTTTCTGTGTGGTATATTTTGTTCTTGTGCTTTATGTAGTATACTAGTGAATATATTATCGTCATGATCAATTGTTAAGTCGCCTGTGACCTCACCCGTTCCTACCGGGTACTGACCTGACTTTTCCCACAAATTACCGACTCATGAATTATAGGAATAGAATATGAATTATACAGTACAGTCGAACGTTGATTTAACGTGAGATACGTTCCAAGAGAGGTCGCTTTAAACCGAATTCGCGCTAAATCAAAGTGTTGTTTCAATGGAATAATTTAGTTTGGTACTTGAGAGAAACACAAAATACTAAAAACACTGAGAGTCTACCCGGATGCACATCAGCCCATCTCCTAGAATAAACAAAACTATTTTTTTTAGTATGTTAAAACAAACACTCATAAATCAACACAGCTAAAATTAAGGGATAAGAAATGGTCTGTTTACTCGCGATGAGCTGATGTCAGAGGGTGGTCACGCTGGCGCTGCACACCACCCGCCTCTCGTCTGACTCGCCAAGCACTCTCACTTTCCTCTCAACTTAGTTTTTAATTGATTTATGCAAATTTACTTAGCAATTCATCCTCTGAAGATGCAGAGCCCAACTCGACTCATTATCCAGATCACTGTCCAAATGCCCCCACCTTGAAGCACCATTTCCTCGCTGCAGTGCTTCCAGCATGTTTTCTGCTCCAGTGTAATTGCTTGCCTTGATTTCATGGCCTGGGGGAAATTAATGATGTAGTAGCTCTTGGACATAGTGGCGATGGTTGATACACGTGATAGAAGAGATAGTGTCACACAGTATATCCGTTCACTAGAGCGCTCAGTGTGAGAACTGAGGATGCGAGGCGGGAGGTGGTGGACAGCATTGTGTAGTGTGTCCAGAGACGTGTCTGGTGGGAAACATTAGGTGCAAAATTTAAAATTTGATGCGCCAGATTGACTATATAGGAAAGTTTCGCTTTAAATTGAAACATTGTCCTTAATTGTGTTCTAAATCAATAATCTTAAATCGATTCACGTTAAATCGACGTTCTACTGTACAATATTAAGATACTGCACAAAAGTGAATTTGGGTGCATAGACTGGGGGAGATGATGGGTGGTAGAGGGAGGACTAATGGACAACTTGCCTGGTCTGTCACCAGAATTCTAGTGCTGTACTGTATTAAAGTTCATTTTGGTTCCTGGTTAATACAACATTTTCAAAACATAATTAATTTTCCTCCCAAAATCCCACACTTAGTTCCATATGAGCTATTGCATTGTAATATATTACAGTATCACTCTTGTTTACAGTGAAGTAACAACTGATGTTTCCACTGACACTGCTCTAACAGTCAGTAAAGTTGCTAGCACTAGTCATCTCACTGTTATTCACTGCTCAAGAGGGTTGGTGCAGGATCTGTTGATTTTCAGAACATAATAAATATTATTGTAGAGTATTGTATATAATGCATCTCCATATGCCCTGGTTTATTCACTCATTAAAATTTTATAAGCCCATGGTTTAATAATGCTGTTAAAGGCGTGTCAGTGTCTTATCATGTCATCCCTCAACTCATCACCTTACTACCTGCCTCCACACCCACACCTTCCTCATCCCTCGCCTCCTCACCCCTCAACTCATCAATTCTGCCTCACCACACCACTACTCCCTCACACACCCCTGCCACCTCCTTCCTCACCCCTCAACTCATCACCTCACTACCTGCCTCCACACCCCTCGCCTTGTCACAAAAGTAGGAGATTGTTGAATAATGTACATTGTATAATACATTTTGTATAGAGTACAGTACTCACCAGCAGATGCTGTCGCTTTGAGCTTATGATACAGGCAGGCAGGTGCCAACGAAGTGCTGCGTCGTAGTGATGAGGGCTGTGGGTTGGGGCCAGAAACACTACCACCACTGGTGCTAGGGAAATAGCTGGTGGAGGAGGCAACACTAGGACACCTAGGGACTCTAGAGAAGTAGTTGCCGATCTTACACTGCTTCATCTGGACTTCATCAATGACTACTGTTCGCATCTCACGAAGGTTATGGCAAAAGGGGATGAGGCTGAGGATGTCAGTGTTGTTGGGCAGGGACTTCCAGTAGAGGCCTGTTTCATCCGCATTGTACATCTCATACCTCCTGATGTTGTTGTTGCGCTTGAGTTGCAACAACTCCTCTTTAAATGGCTGAACACTAGCCACATCGGCACTTGCACTCTCGCCAGCTACTCGCCTGTTGGAAATTCCATGGAGCCTGTAGAACTTGTGCAACCATCCAAAGCTCCCACGGAAGTCAGGCACTCCAACAGCGTAGCAAAGCATTTGGCGGCATCACACAGATCAGTGCCACGAATGGGAACTCCACTGGCTTGTTGCTGCTTGTACCAGTTGTATACAGCAGCATCCACTTTCTCGCATTTCACTGGACCCATTCGAGTGTGGGTGAGGCTACCTCCTTCATCTGCGCCTGGCAAAGCTTTTTGTTCTTGTTTCCTCAACTTCTTCTTGGCATACTTGACGTCATAGATGGTAGACATGTCCACTCCATACATACTCCTCCATCAATGCTTTCACTGACACATTTTTTCCAAGTTTGGTCAAAATGTCCAATTTTTTCTTAATGGACAGCCTTTTCACTGGGCCTCTCTTCGACCCCTTGGTGCCCAGGGCCGGATTCAGGAGTGGGCAAAGTGGGCAGCTGCCCAGGGGCCTCCACAATCTGGGGGCCTCCACATGTGCGGTAGTAGCTATATCAGGGCTGGTCGACTTGAAACCACATGAATGACTCCAGTCATGTCTCACTTTTGTGTGTGTGTTGGGAATTTGTACACTATCAATAAATACAGTATACAGTTAATTAAACATTTCTCAATGTTCTAATTTCCTCAATATAACTGCATATGGCTTCAAAATTCTCCAAAGAAGTGTTCAAATTTCAAAATTTTCCCAGGGGGCTTACAGCTCCCCCCGGAACTCCCAGATGTTTAGGCTCGCTTCACTTTCCACCCCACCCTCTTAGGTAGTTATAATGAGGGGGGCCTCCACAAAGAGGCTGCCCATGGGCCTCCACAGGTCTAAATCCGGCACTGTTGGTGCCACGGGTTTTCTCTGTAGCTTTCGGCATTGCAATACACGTAATTACATTATGTACATAAATAACACGATGCTACAGTACATAAACACTGTTCACTGCTATGCACGTTAGCATATACTGTACATGGTGTTCACAATGTTAATTTACAGTGTAAAATTATACACTGTAATCACTGTTCATGTCTTAACACAGTATACTGTACATTATTGTACTGTGTTGTATCTCAGAATTTGATGATTTCATATACAGTAGTTCGACATGTATATGGTCTCGGAATGGATGAGACCAAAGTGAACAAGAGATGCACGAGTCTGAATGTGGAGGGTGAGGAGCCAGGGGTAAGCAATGACATGGGGAGTGGTTATAAGAAATAACATACTTAAAAAACCTGACGAGAGACTGCAGGAGACTGTGCACCATGGAGAGCCACTATCAGGTAATCACAACCAACCCACACAAGCATGGAAAGTGGTCACAAAATGTTGATGATGACGATAGTGTTGCTTACTTACTACTTAGTCACTAAGGTGCAGCTCTCTCAGTGCATCTCCATAGCTAGTGTTGTTCCTGTGGTTAATGGTTAGGTAACAGAAATGCTTCTGCACAGACTTAATGACATTAGACACATACTTTGTGATGCAGCATTGCCAAACATCAAACTTGTGTGGTCAGATCAATGATTAATAGAAACTATTAATATGATTAATATGATTAAACCTGTAATTTTATCCCAACTTCAGTAATTTAGGAACAGTTGAATGTGATACAATACACCATATACTGTACTGTATCGATCATTTTGGGTTAAGAGTTTTATTTAAATAGTATAAATACAATATAAAGTAGGATTAGATCACATTTAAGTCATAAATGACCCTCTTTCTTTTTCATCTGTGCTGAGTAAACTATCTTTCTTATTAAAAAAAATATAAATTTCATATGTATAATTTTTGAAATTATATCTCCTCAACAGTAATGTCGGAACTTCTGTTTGAGTGCTATGGAATTCCAAGTGTATCATACTGTATTGATGGCTTGCTGAGCTACCACAGAAACAATCGTAACAATCCGGATGGGCTCCTTATCAACATAGGCAATTACACAACACATGTCATTCCAATCTTAGATGGCTATGCTGATCCTTCAAGCTCACGTAGGATTAGGATGGGAGGTCTTCATCTGAGCAAGTTCTTGTGGCGATGGCTGCAACTGAGATTTCCACAGCATTTAAATGCTGTTACATTATCAAGAGCAGAGGTAAACAAGTGTGATGAACATGAAATCCTCACCTTTGGAGTTATTCACATCTAGGTTAAAGCACCAACATTATACAGTACTGTACTTGTACTTTTTTACCTATGTAAATCTATAGTTGTACATTAATTTATGAAAGAGGAATTGAGAGAGAATTCAGAAGCAGTAACTGCTACCCCCTTAGTAGATGGAGCTAAAGCCAGTGAGAGCTGATATTGACACAATACAACATCGTCAGCCATAGTAGCTTCAAAACTACCCAGCAACATTTAGACAAGGGGAAGAAGGGTTTGTCCGATCGTTAAACCTTCACTTGCCATGGCTCCGGCTATTAGGGGGGAAGCAATTATACTGCTTCTGACTGTACAGCACTTTACATATATATTTATATTTAGTTTTTAATTGTTTATTTTTTGTATATACAGTGGAGTCTCAATAATTTATGAAATATAAATTCGCATTCTCAGATTCACAGGTACTGTACAGTACCTCTATTACTACCCTGTTTTTTAATTTTGTAGTCAAATATTCATATTTAGTGGCAAGTGCTGACTATCACAGTGTTTGTTTGCATAAAAAAACGTAAAAGTTGTGGAAATATCATTTCATTGCTCTAATTTGCCTTGGAAATAAAGAAAATATAAAACTATAAAACAAGAAAAATTAAAAGTAGAAAGTGAACTGTTTGAGGGAGGTAGGGCGGTTGGGTGATTGACTGAGGGTCCCCTTCCCCCCATTCCCGAACTGAGCACATCTCCGACCTCATCAATACAACATTACGTAATTTTGCCAAATTCCCATATTACTGTACTATACATTATTTAGGTTCATTTGGTACCTGGTTACCGGGTAATGAAACATTAATGTAAAGTATTTAAAAAAAATTCCCACACTCAACCCCAGTTCAGTTTGTGTGGTATTAAATTCCTGGCTCTTTGTTGACAGTGTGGTCACAGCCAGCCCAGCGACTGCCTGTCTCCATGTTACTGTATGGGCATAACCCCCACGAATTTATGAGATGGGAAGGAGCTGTTTATGTTATATAGAACTACTTTTTGTACAATATCTGTGTGTTACTGTATTTTGTGATGTATTATATACACTGTTAGTGTTCATTACAGCAGTTTTGGAACAGACAGGCATTTCTTGGCCTCTGGAATGAAACATTCTTTCCATTAAAAATAATTAAACTATACAGTAATTCACACTTTGATAATTCACAATGTCATCTGGTACCTAACCCGCAAATTATCAAGACTCCAGTGTACTATATATACAGGTGGCCTTTGCTTGATGCTGGGGAAAATTTGCATAGAGCAATATTGTATAAAGAAAATACTGTAATTTATTACATGTACAGTACTGTACTGCATACAACAGGGATGTGTTCCAGGACCTTTACTGACTCGTCCAAAAAATATTTTTTAAAGCTACAGGTAATTTATAACAAATCCAATGAAAAATCAATTAATAAGGTAAAGCAGTTGTTTAATATTATATAGAAAAATAGAAATCAAATAAATAAGATACAAATTTATTTGAATACTCACATTCATGAGGGACATGTAACCACTTGAGGGATCTCTTATTTTCCATCAGATTTGGTCCTCAGTTCTGTGTATCTTCTCCATTTTTCCCAGCTGAGGACATCTGACCCAGACAGGGTAGTCTAGTTGAACCATCAAGAGTGTATTATATACGTACGATAAACTTTTAATTGAAAGTACAGTCTCTCCTCAACTTACGACAACTCGGACATATGACCGTCATGGTAGTATAAAATATTTTTCACATTACGTATTTTAGAGCCCCCGAAACGTTTGGTTGTAATGTGACCCCGTACGACAGCGTAGGCTGGGCCACCTTGTGGTGTGCAGCATCCACGTTGTACCCCGCTCAGTTAATGGTGGCCTTTGTTGTTGTTAGTGATCGTGCTATGTACTGACAAAATTTTCGTTTGTAATAACCTTTAAAATGGCTGGCAAGCATAAAAGTGAGAGTTCTCGTGGTGCTGAGAAGAAAAAGAGACAGTCAATTACTTTTGAGATGAAAATGAAAAAACGGTAGCAACCATTTCATGTGACCTTGGCTTCTCTCACTCGACAATATCAACAATTTTGAAGGACAAGGAACGAATTCGTGAGGTAGTGAAAGGATCAGCACCTATAAAGGGAACAATAATAACGAAAAAAAAGACAAGGTCCTCTTCATGAGATGGAAAAATTACTTGTGATGTGGATGGAAGATCAGACACAAAAGCGTGTACCCTTAAGCCTTCTAACCATACAGGCTAAGGCAAGAAGCCTTTTCGAAGGCCTGAAAGAGCAGGCAGGAGATGAGTGTGACCAAAACTTCACAGCAAGTCATGGATGGTTCCAAAGGTTTAAGAAACATTACAGTTCGCACAGTGTAAAGGTGAGTGGAGAGGCAGCAAGTGCTGATGTGGGTGCTACCGAAGCTTTTAAGGAGCAGCTAGATCGTGTCATGGTGGAGGGAAATTATTTGCCTGAGCAAATATTTAATGTGGATGAAACTGGCTTATTCTGGAAGCGCATGCCAGAACGGACATACATCCACAAAGAGGCGAAAACCATGCTGGGATTCAAGGCATTCAAGGACCAAATCACACTTCTGTTGGGGGGGGAATGTAGCTGTTTTCAAGGTAAAACCCTTTATGATATATCATTCAGAGAACCCAAGGGCTTTTAAAAATGTCAGCAAGCACACACTGCCAGTGTTTTATCGCAGTAATAAGAAAGCATGGATGACCCTAGCACTGTTTGAGGATTGGTTCCTGAGTTGTTTCATTCCATGAGCCAAGGAGTATTGTTTGCAACAAAGGGTTGTGTTCAAGATTTTATTAATTTTAGTTAATGCTCCGGGACACCCACCACACCTGGACGACCTGCACCCTGATGTTAAGGTAGTCTACCTTCCATCTAACACTACTTCTATCATCCAACCCATGGATCAAGGTGCTATTTCACAGCCATTTTAAAGTGAATTACAAACGAAAAGTTTGTCAGTACACAGCGCAATCACTGACGTAGTTTATTCTCTCGAAAAACTTAACCCAGTACCCAGAAGAATGTAACAATAAATAAAATGGCTGGGCTGGTAAGTCGGCGACACAGCTACAGCCTACCACCTCCACACACGTACACACCAAATGCTCTTCATATTTTCAATTTTACAGTTTTATATTATATGTGTACTTTCTTTATTTCTAAGCCACATTGTTTATGTAGAGTGAATTTTCATGAATGTTTAAATTTCAAAACAATTTAATTAAAAAAAAAAACATGGTAATTGGGGAAGTCATGAAAATTAACATTTTTGTGGAAAAATGGACTTCCGAGATACAAATTTGCAAAGTCAGCCTGTAGCACTGTGCACTGTAGGAATTACTGGGGGATCCCAAGAGTAAGGTTCAACTAACCAGAAAATCTCCTTATCATGCACTTATCAATCCCCATAGGTGCCAGATAACCAGGATGCTACTGTACAGTATTTCCATACCAAATACTATATACTATATTATAATGACCCCATTGTAAGCTGATTTACTTAAATTTCTCTCTCTCTTCTGAGCTTTTAAGAGGTATTACTCTACATGTTGGATCACATATATTCCTAATTACATTAATTCTCATGGAGAAAAATTCTCCAACCTGTAATGAGGACCCCCTCTACTGTACTGTATGCAGTATGTACTTTGACAGGAAATTCTTCATAACCACATGCATGTTGCTGAGGATTACATGTCAGAGATCTCCAAGTGGTCTAATGTCAACTACTATGAAAAGTATGTTCGGAGAATTCAGCTCCCTTTTGTAGCCGCACCAGTGAGCACAGTGTCTGTGGAACAACAGCGTGAGCGACGTAAGGAGGCTGCCAGACGACTTGTTGAGATGAATGCTAAGAAAAGAGAAGAAAAGGTGAGTTTGTTAACATAGATTAAAAGTGTTTGGTTTCTTCTGTTTTAAATGGAGATTGGTAGATTGAACTTGTGATTTTTCAGTTTATAGGAAACCCTTGATAATCCAGTTTAATTTGGAGAGTTGGTGAGAAACATATGAAATTATGGATGTTCTGGCCATGTTCTATGGTGCATGAAATACAACCACTCTCAGCTTTTTTCATAAATTGTACTGTACCTTATTGCATCCATGTTCCATTAAGCACAAAGAAATGTATATTGACAGTAAATACTTTTACAATAAATTACAGAACCACAGAGACTTAAAGAGGTAACCTGTTAATATGCTCTGAAGGTACTGAGTGAAGTGGCAACCTAAAGATAAACGTACAGTAATCTACATGCTAAACCAATGTGAATTTCTGTAGCTAATTATTTTTTAATAAATTTCTGCCTGTCAATATCTCTCTCTTTTCCCATCTTTGTCTGTGATATGTAGAAATCAAGAGTCGGAAGTGTATTAATCAAATATAATAAATTTTAGCTGATGGAGGATGAAGCAGAACTAACCCGCTTGATAGAATTAGTGGAAGCCATGGAAGAATTCACACCGGATGAACCGGAGTACCAACATGCCCTGGAGGAGGCAGAGGTTACATCTCCAGATGACCTCACCAAAAAGATCACATTATTGCACCAAAAGATTGAGAAGACTCGTCAGAAGATGCTGCAAGCTACTTCAGCTGCTACTGAGGAGGAGGTATGTAAGATTCACACAAAGCTATGCCCAAAAGTTGACAGATGAAGATGATTGTTGAATTCTTAACAGAAGGAAAGGCCTTTGGAACATTTTCTCAAAATATTTGTTATACTGTTACTGAAACTTCATCGAGAAATAAAAGTATTAGTGTCAATTCTGGTGTAAAGTGTAAGTACAGTACAGTGGTCCCTCGGTTAACGAGCACAATCCGTTCTAGAAGGTTGCTCGTTAACCGAAACCATTGTTTCAATGGGTTTTTGGGTAATTGGTTCCAGCTCACCGAAAATTGCCTAAATTCAACAAAAAATGTAGTAAAGTACACTTACTTTCAGGTGTGTATGTAGAAGGCTCCTGGATAATGATGATGATGGGAATTAGAATGGGGTGGAGGAGAAGGGAGAAGAGAAGGCACTGGGGTGGAAGAGAAGTCACCCCATGGCGCCATTTCACCCATAAAATTTTAGTTCTCTTGGTGTACCGTATATACTCGTCTATAATTGTACCTCGTTTATAGGTCGACCCTGATTTTTTGACCAAGAAATCATTAATTTATGATATGCCTCGTTTATAGGCCGACCTAAGTTTTTGAGTGTGAAATATCGAAAAGGTTTTTATTACCGGTATTTTTGTAGATCAATGAGTACTGTGATACCGTATATGATATGATAAGTTAGCCTGTGCTAAGAACTTCAACATAGACTACTGAAAGCACGTTGTAAGATAATTTAGCCTGTTGTAAGTTGGTGAGCTTCATCTGCTGAAGGCACTGCACAGCTTTTCATTACTAATTGGTACATATTTTATGTTTCCATTGTTTACTGGCAGTAAATGGTAAATATTTTTCATGTCTGAAGCTAAAAGTACAAAGGCCAGCCAAAGCAATCTTCCAGTGGCGTGACAGTCCCTTATATTCCCAGGCACTCAATGCATAGTGTCTGGTGTCAAAATTTTGTGAATACAGTACCAGACACCTGTCTAACAACACGTCTGAATAATGACACAAATCTTTGAAAAAAATATTTTAAAAACGAAAAAATATCTTATGTATCTTATGTGTCATTGTTAGCTGTGGAGCAGAATGGTGGAGATCACATAGTTCCACCAACCCAGCCCGGCCCACATCACAACATAGAATAATAAAAGATTGGACCCTCTCCAACCACAGCATTAAATTTCAAGTATCTGCGGATTAGTGTGGCATCTGCGGCTGAATGTATTTTTATGTAAATGTGAGGAATGAATAAAATAATACTGTACTAATAAATAAAAGAAAAACAAATACTGCATTGCCATTTGGAAATCGTTTCATTAAGGACACCGAGGACAGGAATGTGCCCCCCCCTCCCACAGACATAAGAAATGTATATTCTCTTTATATTTTTGACCATATGATAATCAATTCTTTTATTTTCACTTTTTTGCACACACTGTATGAACGATTGCGTGTGCATGTAATCCATGTTAAACAAACCCGTGTTAAGCAAGCGGGTGGTGTATGTACAGGTATTGATATTTCGTTCCTGTCCATTACGGGGGATAGGTGTGTCAGGCAGAGATGGTTAAGAATGCATTGAGACTGCTTGAAAGATGGATAGATGAAAGAAAATCTTATGCCATTTTTCACAGTACAGTACAATACAGTAAACCCTCACTTCTACGTAAGGTTGTATCCCTAAAGGGGTCGTGTAATCATAAAATCACACTGTTATAAATCTATAAAGTAATGGGAAAATAAGGCAGAAGGTCCAGGAACCACTGAGCTCATCCTTTATAGCCCTTATATAACATTAACCGAATGATAAACACAAAATTTAAATTAAAAAAGCTATTGAGTACAGTAAAAATACTGTATGTGCAAATTTAGTGTCATGTAAGTAATGAAACCACTGCAGTAATAAAAATGTCTCAAGTAGTTAATTGAAATTAATGGTAAATTAAAGAGGTAAACAATCATCATGTTGACATTTCTGTACGTCCTGTACTTTTATTTTAGAACATCAAGTGGTAAAGTACTTGAACTTTTTATTATTATTTTCTTTGAGTTGTTCATGATAGATGAAGTTGATAAGAGCATTTTTGAAGCTGTGTATCTGTCTTATAGGATATACTGAACTGGCAATGATATTTAAACTTAAATTAGCTTATATAATTTCCAAACTACCTAAGAATAGCTTCTTCAGGTTTCAAATTACACTACTGAAGAATATTTCTTTTAGGTTGTGAATTAATTAGATGGCCTGTTTCTTTCAGGAACCTAAACCAAAGAGAGTGTGTGAGGATATAAGTCCCAAGAAAAAAGCTGACCTTGAGCAGTGGGTTGAGGAGGTCAAGCAACAGTGGAGGGACATCCAGTCTCGCCGGGCAGCTCGGCGACACAAGAGGTTGGACTGGTTAACTTAGCCATGCATCACTGTCTCGGCCTTAATTAATTCTGTCATTGGTAATCTTTAAAACTCATTGCATCAGGACCAGTTCTTTTTATAGCTTCCGTGACTTTCTTAACATATTATTAATATACAGTTAACTTTCTCTAATCTGGTTTGACCGAAATTCCGGGTTGGATGTGGGTCTGTATTGTCTATATTGCAAGGTGGAAAATGTCAAGAAGGTGGAGGGATTTCCGACTCAAGCTACCTAAGAACACTGAACCTACTATAATTTTAAGCCTAGACTAAACACACTCAGGGTTTTTATATATCATCTGAATGTTTTGTTTAGCAGCTTAGGGAAAAGGTATTTTTTCCTCGGTCTCTCATATGCTCTAGGCAGCTTGGTGCCTTCTCTCAGTACAGTCAGTCTCCGAGTGGCTGGTGTTGCCTGGAGTTCTCTCATATACCTGGTAGCAGTGTGTGCTGTCTTGACTGTCACACCCAGCTGCATTCAAGCCACATGCTCCTAAAAACACCTCTATTTGATTGCCTGTATCATATAGATCTTTTGTATATATATATATATATATATATATATATATATATATATATATATATATATATATATATATATATATATATATATATATATATATATATATATATATATATATATATATATATATATATATATATATATATATATATATATATATATATAGTCAACCCTCACTTTACGCGGTTAATGTAACCCACAGGGTACCGCGGAAAGTGAGAAACGCGTAAAGTGAATAACATAACATATGGGATTAAATGAAATAGAGACCAGCTGACCCCCAAACTCCACTTTTTCCAACACAATACCTATGTTCTAGTAAAAATAACATCTTAATTTTATGATGGTACATGCACACAATTAATACTTAAGAGAAATAGAGAAATACAGTCGCCAAGTTAATGTCCATTCAAATAATGGACACGACTCCCTCCCCCTCTTCTCACACTACACTGCTGGCTCTTCCCTCTGAGAAATTTTGGGGGGAAAACCAGGTATAGTAATAAATAATACCTCAAACTAAAGTTAGGATAATATAATTGACATTGCTGGATTCCTTGTAAGACCAGGAATATTTTGAATATAAATGTCATATATTTTTCACAAAAGATAACATATTTACTCAGATTAAACATTTTATCTAAAATTTGTATGTCTAATGCAAAATATATGATGTTTATATTCAAAATGATCACCAAATTGTAAGAATTCCAGCAATGTAAATTATATTCTGGCCGGGTAATTTGTATGAATTTTATGAGCTAAAACAAATATCTTCAGTTAATAAAAAAAAAATATTCTTCACGACACTATCTGTCAATCAAAGTACCCCACCTTGCCTCCCCCCTCTTCCAACCGCGCGGTCAGTCCCAACCCTCCCCCCCACCCCCCACCAATCCTCCCTTCAAGAGAAAGAGTGGGTGAAAAAAATAAATTTTAACATTTTGTATTAAATAATACCTCAGATTAAAGTTAGGATAATATAATTGACATTGCTGGATTCCTTGTAAGACCAGGAATATTTTGAATATAAATGTCATATATTTTGCACAAAAGATAACATAGTTACCCAGAGAAAAATTTTTATCTAAAATTTGTATGTCTAATGCAAAATATATGATGTTTATATTCAAAATGATCACCAAATTATAAGAATTCCAGCAATGTAAATTATATTCTGACCGGGTAATTTGTATGAATTTTATGAGCTAAAACAAATATCTTCAGTTAATAAAAAAAAAATAATCTTCACGACACTATCTGTCAATCAAAGTACCCCACCTTGCCTCCCCCCCTCTTCCAACCGCGCGGTCAGTCCCAACCCTCCCCCCCACCCCCCACCAATCCTCCCTTCAAGAGATGTGGGGTGAAAAAAATAAATTTTAACATTTTGTATTAAATAATACCTCAGATTAAAGTTAGGATAATATAATTGACATTGCTGGATTCCTTGTAAGACCAGGAATATTTTGAATATAAATGTCATATATTTTGCACAAAAGATAACATTCTTACTCAGATTAAACATTTTATCTAAAATTTGTATGTCTAATGCAAAATATATGATGTTTATATTCAAAATGATCATCAAATTATAAGAATTCCAGCAATGTAAATTATATTCTGACCGGGTAATTTGTATGAATTTTATGAGCTAAAACAAATATCTTCAGTTAATAAAAAAAAAAAAATATTCTTCACAGGGTAACAGATGGTCGGTCGGTCCCTCCCTCCCCCCCACCCCCCACCAACCGTCCCAAGGAGATGTGTGGGAAAACCAGAATACTTAACTTTTTTGTAATAAATAATACCTCAAACTAAAGTTAGGATAATATAATTGACATTGCTGGATTCCTTGTAAGACCAGGAATATTTTGAATATAAATGTCATATATTTTGCACAAAAGATAACATATTTACTCAAGAGTAAACATTTTATCTAAAATTTGTATGTCTAATGCAAAATATATGATGTTTATATTCAAAATGATCACCAAATTATAAGAATTCCAGCAATGTAAATTATATTCTGGCCGGGTAATTTGTATGAATTTTATGAGCTAAAACAGGCAGTCAGGCAGGGTGGTGGGTGGGGCAAATCTAAAAATAGCGTCTCGAGCCGGACACTCACCGCGTATATGTGGAAAAAATCCGTGTTAAGTGAAAGTTCAGCTCTGGCGAGGCACCGCGTATATGATAAAACGCGTGAAGTGAAACCGCGTTAGGCGGGGTAATACTGTATATATATATATAATATATTCAGGATTACTGTGGTATAAAAATGGTGTTTCTAACTTAATTACTGTTTTTTATGGCATATAAGATGCACTTTTTTGTTTGAAAAGTAGCTAAAAAAATTGGCCTGCGCCGTATACAGTATGTGAGGCTGTGGTCTGCTGTAGGCTAATGAATCCCCCAGTTGCTGTCTCCAATTAGCTAAATTCTACCTAGCCAAACTCCAAAATTAAAAATACTGAATGTTAATAATTAAACACATTATTATTTATTTAAATAATAAAAAAAGAAAAGAAATATAAAAGCTGCATTTATAGCTACAGTATTATACTAATGATGATAACCCAAGACAATTAGCATCCATACAGCTGACACCCAACTCTTCAGAGGTGCTGTAGTTAAATAGTAACCATTTCTGAACTCCTACAAGGATTACTATCTATTAATGTCATACCTGTAACAATTATATTTAAACCTACAAATATCTGATACAAATGAAGATTTACAGATAACTTCTTTTCACATTTGTGTGTTAACATCGCTGTTTGCATTATAGCCAAGTTAGACTCGTCACTGTAACCACCAGGCTACTGGGCCAAGCTATGTGTAATGGTTGTTTTCAACTTGTATTTTTGGGTAGACATACGTAATTTTCTTCATTTATTTTTACTCAGTTACATGCACACACCATCCTACATACATATTGTGAAAAAAATTTAAAAGAAACGATTGCCCTAAGGAGAAACACATGAAGGGAATATCTATTTCGCACACAAGTTATGCGGCTCAGTGGGTGAGCGAGAGGATGGCGCAGAGTGTTGGGGGTGGAGCGTTAATAGGGAGTCGACAGAGGTAGCTTCCCTGCTGGTCTGCGCTCTTATGGTGAAGCAGGGAGTGTATGCAAATGGCAATTGAGCTAAACTTTCATTTGGGTTTTATTTACTGGTTTGGCAACTTTCTTTTGGGTTTTAATTACTGGTTTGGCAATACTGTACTGTACAATATTTTTTGCTGTAACTTATTTATTGGTATTATTTTTATTTATTCCTCACATTTACTGGTACTGTATATATTATTTTAAGAAAACTATGGTTACAGGAAGAAAATACACTCAAAAGTTTTTTCCTAAAGAATTGAGTTCCCATCATTATATTGTGTAAAAATATTTTATCAAAGGATTTTTAATTGAAACAGTCTTCTAGAGAATTAATTCAGGATCATTATGGTACAGTAGAATGTCGATTTAAAGCGATTCAATTTAAGATTATTGATTTAAAGCAACACCCACAATTAAGGACAATGTTTTAATTTAAAGCGAATCTTTCCTATTTTGCGCGAGTCAATCTGGTGCATCATATTTAACATTTTGCGCCTAATATTTCTCTGGGCACGCTACACAGTCCTAAGGGCAAAGCTGTACTGTACATGTACTCAAAATAATGTACTAAATGATTACTAAAATTTTTGTCTACTGCAAACTATAGCATGTTTATATTCAAATTAATCACTATCTTATAAGAATTCCAGCAATGTAAATTATATTCTCCCCGGTCACTTTTGTGACATTTTATAAGCAAAAAACATAAACTCAAGCTAAAGGACATAAATAAACAAATAAATACTTCACTAGACCTTCAGCTCTAATTGTCCAACATGTCACTGTCACTTCCCTCCCTCCCTCCCACCATCCCCCCCAGTTAGGGTTTGGTGTTTTAGGCTTAAAGTTTGTTCTTATATAATGTCACAGACTAAAGTTAGGAGAATATAATTTGTATTTCTGGAATCCTTGCAAGACAGTGAATAATTTGAATATAAACGTCATATATTTTGCACAAGAGATAAAAATTTTTGCTCTTTATAATAAAATTCTTAAATTAGAGCTAAAATTTGTATGTCTAATGCGAGCTATAGCATGTTTATATTCAAATTAATTACTATCTTATAAGAATTCCAGCAATGTTAATTATATTCTCCCATGTCAGTTCAGTGACATTTTATAAGAGAAAAACTTAAAGTCATTCTTAAGGACAGATAATTAAAAAAGCACTAGACCTTAGCATCAACTGTCAAACATATCACCTCACCCCCCCATCTTCCCAGTCAGTAAACAGACCATTTTGCATCCCTTAATTTTAGTTGTGTTGATTTACGAGTGTTGTTTTACCATAATACAGTGATCCCTCGGTTAACGAACGCCTCGGTTAACAAAATTTTAGGTTAACGAATTACCTTCCATAAGATTCTTCACTTCGGTTCACGAAAAAATTTCGGTTAACGAATTCCTTACAAATTTTTTCCAACATGTTTTCTCTTGTTTTCGGCTGCTCACCAGCTGTAGTATTAGTCCGCCAATGCAGTAATCGGTTCTAGGGCTTAAATTCGTTACCATTTGAGTAAATATCAAGAAGGTTGTACTATTCAATAATTTTAAAAGTTTTATATTAAATTTTTTAGTAATTTTAACAATGATTTAACATATAGTATACTGTAGTCTGCATTTACGCGGTCAATTGAACCCATGGAGGTTCGCGTAAAATGAGAAACGCGTAAACGAAACAACAGAACATATGGGATTAATTGAAATAGAGACTGGGCCGACTCCCAAACTCCACTTTTTCCGACACAATACGTACCTTATAGTAAAAATAACATATTTTATGATGGTATTGCTACACACATAATATCTAAATAAAAAACTACAAATCTAAAGGTGTTTAACACTTACGTTAGTAGAAGAGATGGGTCGGCACACGTGGATGGCGGCTGGTTCCGAGGCAGAGGGCAGATTAGTTGCCCTCCGGTGAATCACTTTCACTACTCGCAGAGGTTTGCAGGGTCTCTCTGACAAACCCCTCAAAGTCCATATCCTCACTGTCGCTATCACTGACTTGGATTGGCTGTGGTTGTGGTGGGTTGCGGGCAAAGAAGTCCTTAATGCTACGTTGACGACTAGCATTGATGTTGTCGTGATAGATCTGGACATATGGCTCCATAATTTTCGACAGAAGGTTATTAGACACTTCATACCGATGATTGACTGGATCTTTGTCAAGGACAAGCTTGATTTTCTCCCCCAACTCGATGATTTCCTTCACATAACCATGGCTTGGTCCAGGTAATTCAAGGTTTTTCTCAAGTGGTGGGGGTCCAGCGGAAGCCATTGTGAGGGGAATAGCTGGCACAAGAGAGAACTGTATTCGCGGACTGAGAACAATGAGACTGGCCCGGCTAGGTCAGCGACTTCTGGTGGCAGGGCACATCATGTTACATTAGACCAATCACAGCTAGCGGTGGAGAGAACGCGTGGGTGGTAAGGATGCGTGGCCCAATCACAATCCGATACGTCATATGACGTCAGCGATAATGTAGGAGCGACCTAATGAGCACAATGCCCGCGCCGCTTCCCGCGTAAATGATGAAATTTACCACATAATTAAAACATTTCATTCTGGCAAGGCACCGCGTAAATGACCAAACGCGTAAACAAAATCCACGTAAATCCGACTATACTGTAATTGAAGTACAGGGAACTAAATTTTAGTGCGCCAAACAGCCACTTGACTCACCCAAAATGGCGTCAGTGTGTGTTCCTGTTCAGTGGAGGAAGCATCTTGCTTGAGACACTCTTGAACATAAACTATTTTTATGTTTTTACAGTACAATTATTGGTCATTTTGAAGTTTATTTTACATATTGACAATATATAATGCAGTGCAGTGTTGATTTAAAGAAAATAATCTTGAATTACACCAAGTGAACTAAAAGTTTATGGGTGAAATGGTGGCATGAAGCATGGGGTCACTTCTCTTCCACCCCAATGCCTTCTCTTCTCCCTTCTCCTCCACCCCCCATTCTAATTCCCATCATCATCATCAACCAGGAGCCTTCTACATGCACACCTCAAAGTAAGTGTACTTTACTGCATTTATTTTTAGTTTGTATGTAATTTCCGGTGAGCTGGAACCAATTACCCAAAATCCCATTGAAACAATGGTTTCGGTTAACAAAATTTTCAGTTAACGAACGACCTTCTGGAACGAATTGTGTTCGGTAACCGAGGGACCACTGTACTACAAAAAACAATGTTTTGTTTATTCTAAGAGATGGGCTGAGGTGCATCTGGGTAGACTCTCAGTCTTTTTTGTATTTTGTGTTTCTCTCAAGTACCAAACTAAATTATTCCATTGAAACAACACTTTGATTTAGTGCGAATTTGGTTTAAAGCGACCTCTCTTGGAACCTATCTCGTGTTATATGACGTTCTACTGTCCCAAATTTATCTTTCAAACACAATTAGAATAGATTCTGTGGATAAAAGTTTATGTACTTTTTTGCTAGCTATAAATATTTTTACTTGTGGCTGCGGCCTAATATAATGAGAGTGATAAGAAAATCGTATAAAAGAAAAGTACTGAACTTATTAATTATCAACTTATCATGAGGCGGTTGAGTCTTGAGGTGGGAGGTGATTATACTATACAATGTATCTGGTGCTGGACCCCAGTCCAGTTTGCAAGGGGATCCAGATTAAGTGAGTCTGGTGGTAGAGGGAGTTTAATGTAAATGTTAATAAATATTATGGTATGCTGTATCCTTATCTATATTCCACAACCTCAATTTTAGCCACTCCCTTGGTACTTTTGTCTCCTCTATCATCTCTCTGCTCCCACTTGTATTGTAGCTATGTGGTGGATCAAGGGAAACAAAAACAGGCAGAAAGAGGGAAAAGTATTGTAAGGTAAGTGTAGAACGTGACAAGAAAACACTAAAATAACAAGTGTGAATACTTTGCACACACACTACACCATGTCCTCAACTTACAGAACATAGAATGCAATTTGAATCCTTAACTTTTTCATTGAGTACATGTACAAGGTTTAATATCAATTCAACATGCAAGCTAAATTGATTTATCAGGCATTTTTGCATTTAAAATTACATCATAATTTTTTAAATGTAGTATTATTATCAAGAATTTTTACATCCCAGACAGGAGATGGCTAAGCGACGTACTGCAGCTTCCCAAGAAAGAATGCGTATCATATCACAGTTGGCAAGACGGGAGAAAAAAGATGACAACTTTGGTATGAGGGATGAAGATTGGGATGTGTATAAGGCCATCAATAAGGTTTGTAATTTGTCAAGTTATCATCTTAATAAAATATGGGGTGGGGGGAGTGTGCCAGTGTGCAACTCCTTAGTTTCCAAAGTCATGACTGCATTTGGTGTGCCCCAGCAAGGAGAATGTATGAGGCCTTTAGAATAGGTGCATTTAATATGAAAGGAGTTCATGCAGTATAAAAGAAGTGAAAATTATTTAAGCATTTTGCAGATCATAGACTGGATGTCTTTATATAAGTACTGTACTGTAATTAGGGAGATGCTTCTGCCAGGAAAGGGAGTATGGGAAACAGAAGAGAGAAGTTATGGATGGGAAGGAATAGATGTTTGGATGTTGTGGCCTGAAGTAGGTGAAAATTATACAGGATTAAAAGAAACTGTGGCAATCCTCTTATTACCAAGGGCAAAATTATGGGATATGGCTGTGAAAACTCCAGAATGGTATGGATAGTATGCAAAAGATAGGTAAATAAGTATGCATTAATATTTGCATATGTCCAGTAAATAAAGAAACAAATCAGGGAAAGTAAAAACCAGAATCCTTTGGAATCAGTTAAATAATTGTATCCAAAGACTTCAGAGAAATAGAAAAGTAATATTGTTAGGTGAAATGAAAGCAAAACTCAGAATTAAGAGTAATATGAACATTATAGATATATAAGGGGTTGCAGACTGAAATACAGATGGAGATTTGTTGAGTGTACAGTATGCAAAAAAAAAATTGTTTGAAGCATAAATAAATATAAACTTAGGTATGCTTGGAGAAGAAGGGACAAGATAGGATATACACTGAGGGATTAGGAAGCACTACCTGGTGTTTGTAGAATTTAATAGGAGAATGAGATGGGTCAACAAACCAGCAGTGCAGGGACAAAAGAGGTGAGAGTCGAGTGGGTAAAGATGAAGGAAACTGAGGTTGAACAAGAGTTTATCCAAAAACAGGAGGAGTTAGATGAGACTACAAAAGAAAATCAATATAACAAAGACATAAACAAGCTGTGGGAGGAGAGTAGTAATGGTGTAAATGAAACAGTAGAGAGCGCTCGAAAGTAACATATAATGCCAAGTTCCCACTCTGTAAAATTGGATTGGCGAGAGGAAGGGCATCCAGCCATACAACTGACTTCAAATTTGTTTGATGGCAACCAGGACCTAATGTCATCAGGTAATTGTAGCTAACTCACTCAAATGTGGAAAATAGCTGTAAAATGGTGGTGATGAATTGATGATGATTTATTATTATCATTCAAGACTCCAAACTGCTGTGGGTGACACATTGGTTAACTTGTCAGTGGTCTTTAAAAGGTCAGGAAGAGAAGTTGAGTACATGTTCTCAGAATAATTAGTAAAACAAACTTTTGAAACAATTAGTGAGATATGCATTTTAAATGGTCAGTAAAATGAGTTCATTGAATGGACATCGAGAAAAGTTGTTTGAATTGTCAGTGAATGAGTTCTTTGAATAGTCTATGAAATATGCTGTTTAAACGTCCAGTAAGAATAGTTCTTTAAATGGTCAACAAGCCATGCTCATTAACTGATCAGCAAAATAAATCCATTGGATGGCCAATTTTGGCAGTAGATTAAGGTATTGTGTTTGAAGATAGAGACAACCTGAAGAAGGTGATAAGGTGAAAATTGTTGACTGTAGGTCCAGGGTTTTCTCTCATTATAGAGACTAAACACTCCATAATTCTTAAAATTATAGAGGAGAAAGTATTATTATTGAACTCCTCTGAGGTTTTATTGGGTTACATGCTTCAATCAAGTTTAATAGGGGTGCTTGTGGTAGAAGCGGTACCGCTCTTGCCTCGCAAGCAAGATGTCACGGGTTCGATTCCCGGGCAGGCGGAAGTTGTTTGGACACTCTTCCTAGCCCCCTTGGTCCCTGTTCACCTAGCAGTAAAGTAGGTACCTGTTGTAAATCGAAAGGTTGTGAATTCGTATTCAGGGAAAGTTGTTTGAGCTTCTAAACTTGGAACTAACACAATCTGAGGAGTGGTGACCCGAGGATCACACACCAAACACGGACAAAAACCAAATACGTGCGCTATGTGCTAACCAAATAAACGCAGTCGTGTAAAGCCACGGCACTATCTCTCCTACTACAATTCCCTTCCTAACCTCCTGCTCCTTCCTCTGTCATCTTCCCCGCTCTGCCTTTCACTACCAACAACTTTTGGAGCTTCTAAACTTGGAAAAAGTTTAATATTAAAATAGGTTTATTTGTTCAAATAGTCTCATTTATACAATGTCTGGACAGATGGCAATTATTTCCATTGTCCACTCCACTGGCCTCTGGCATGATAAGGGACAAAGAAGTGTGAAGGTAATGTGGACTGTCATACAAGGAACAAGTATAGGTTGTATCATAATTCTTCCATACCATGGGAAGAGAAGTATTTAATGTGTGTATATAAACTGGCAGAGGGAAAGAAAGTGATCAACAAGTGCTCATCAGTGTGGTCTGGTCTGAATTTTCCCCCAGTGAGTGAGTTAGTCAGAATTAAAATACAGTACATGCAGTTGACTGATGAAACTACTGAGGAACAGTATGGGCTGATTACAAAGTCCTATCAGTGAGTGGGTGAGTCAGTCATTCAGGAGTAATATTCATCGTAATTTAAACTGACCAATAGAACTACAAACAACTGATATTGGCAGGAGGGAGGAGGGTCAGACAGTGAAGAGGAGAATGAGAAGTTGCAGGAGCTTGAGTCAGCCTTACGACAACACAGTCCTGAGTTCTTGGGAGACACCACTGCCACCAAACCAACTTCACTTGCTGAAAATTACCAGATTCAGCTCTCTACAGAACAGGTACATAAGCTAGAGGTTCACTATGTCACAAAACTCAATACAGTATTATTATTGTGTTCACTGGAAGCCATATTACTGATTCAGCTGTCAATGGAACAGTATCACTTGAGGTCATAAATTTATTTATTTTTTATCATGTTTTCTTGAAGTAACTTCCATAGTCACATCTCACTGGAACACGTAATGAATTTACTTGTTCGGTAGTGGTTATAACATTATTTTCTGCTTGAGTGAAGTAATTTTTTATGTGGCAGGATTTCACTTTGTCTCACTGATCCTAAGTTGAAATCTTAAATTTTATAAGTTTATGCCTTATTAATAGCATCCACAGTTTTCATATTTACCCAGTTTATGATTTAAGCCAAAGATGGTCATCAGCCCTCCCCTTAAAATTCAATCTCCTGGGAGGCCAAAATTTATTTGTAAAAAAATACCTCAAAAGCTCCCAACAACCCTAAAATATAAGGAAATCGCAAAGAAATTGCATATCATGTCATTTAAATGTCTTGTGGCATGACAAAATGTTTTGTGATGTCATAATGGCACGGGAATTCCCTCCAGCTGAGCCAAGCCCAGCATGCTGTGCCACGTCTTCCATTGCCTCCCATTTGCTCGCTCTTACCTCACAATCAGAATACATCCCCACACCTGTTTTTTAAGTTTTGTATTATAATTTACTTATTTCTATAGTAGGTACAACTCGACTTTCGACTTACGACCACCCAGACATACGACCACCCCAGTCGTACCAAAATTTTTTCAAATTACGTATTTTCGAGTTCCGGCGTTAGTGATTGCGCTGTGTACTGACAAAATTTTCGTTTGTAATTCCCTTTAAAGTGGCTGGCAAGCTTAAAAGTGAGAGTTTTGTGGTGCTGAGAAGAAAAAGAGACACCCATTTTAGATTTTCTATGTATTATTTTTGCATTTTCGAAATACGAGCAATTTGACTTACAACCTGGATTTGGGTCCCTAACCCTGTCGTAAGTCAGGGACTGCCTGTACACTATATGTAATGAATATTGAAATACTTTTTCCACAACTCTTATTTTTTTTTGACTTATTAATTTGTTTTTTTGTAAGTGGCATCACAGACATTCTTCTCTGTGCTGCCTGGAGTTCACCACTTGAGACACACGCACAAAATGCTTCCACTATATCACTTATAAAGGTATCCCACGTTTAATGATGGGGATGCATTACTGAGAAACCTATCGTTACATGAAATGATCGCTAAATGAGGAATAATATCCTAAACGAGGGATAACAAAGGGTAATATCCTTGGAGATGGCATGTAGCCGATTCACCACATAGTAGCACTCAGTACTATGTTATTGTTCAACTCATAATTTCGGGTAGATGTACATAATTTTCTTCATTTTTTTTACTGTTACATGCACACACAGGTGTTCATACAGAATGTGCAAAAAACAACAATACAAAATATAATTGTCATAAAGTAAAAAACGTAAAAGGGAATAAACATTTCTTATGTGTGTGGGAGTTAACACAGAGAGCATGGGAGAGGGGAAGTAGCGTGGGGGATCTCTCGGCTGTTTGCAGTCTTGTGTCCTTTATGGAGCGAAATGATTGCCAGATGGAAACACAGTATTCTTTCTTTTCTTTTATTAATTGTTATTATTTCTATTTATTCCTCACATTACTGGTACAGTATACACACACCACAGTTCATCCGGGCAGCCACCAAGCTGACTCATGAGACGTGTGTGGCTGCTGCCTGTATGCCGTGGTGTCACATAGGGTGGAGGGAGAGTACAGCTAGCCACAGTTACAGCTCACTGCCTCAATATATAAATTTACGTCCCACACATACACACCCATGCTTTTCATTTTTCTTATTTTATCGTTTTATATTACAGGCATCCCCGGGTTATGGAAGGGTTCTGTTCCTGAAAATCTTTCCATATTGCAAAATTTCATATCGCGAAGCCATTTTTTCCCATTGACTCCCATTATATAAGATGAGATGCATTCCTATGGAAATTTTTTGTGGCCAAAAAATGTAACACAAGCACATATATGAATGAAAATAGACACATATGATGATTCAATCATGATGTAACATGACAATAAATGCACTCACTTGAAGTTAACTTACCAGAAACAATGTTGAGTGCTGCAGGAGGTGGTGCAATCAGAGTTACTGGGAGTTACCTCCTTAAAACATCATGTTTATAGTCCAACATACCATATTTTATGGTATATAAGATGCACGGTCATATAAGACGCACCCCCCATTTTAGCAGGGAGTACAGTAAAGCCTTGAATAACGATGGTAATGTGTCCTCCAATATTGCAGTGCAAGGTGAATCATCATATCGTGAATCATTAACTTCAGTTCCATTAAAATAAAGCAATAATAACGAGATGCGTTCCCTATTCTGACCGTTTCATATCTTTTGTGTGGCTCTATTTTCCCCCAAAACAATAAAATTAATGAAAAATGCAAACTATATTCTTTAAATAATGTTTATGAATGAACCTTATACATTATAAATCAATAATACTATGGTCACACAAGAGGAGATGGAATGCCACTGTTGTTGTCAGTGTTTACACCCCTGATGTCAGTTATCCATCTGAAACTGAAGAAAATCAGACCCTGGTTGTTGTTGTAGTAAAATTAATGTAAAAAATATGTATGTTTTAATTAATGTTATTTAATGTGCAGTAGAAGTAACCACTGATATTAAAGAAAAAAGTGAGAGACTGATAGTGGAATGCCAATGTATGTACGAGAGCAGTCATGGAAACATAGCGTCATTTACCTTATTAAGAATGTGTACAAAATATTCAATATTGTTTATTACTGAATATTTATTTGATTGAATTAATGTTTATGCATGCGAAATGAACAATACGATTCATTAATAATACGTAGAATATTAAAACACACAATAGGAGACGATATGCCATTATTTTCGTTAGTGTTTACACCCGTGACGATGGTTCTACACTGAAACTGAAGAAAATAAGACTGGTTACAGTTGAAGCAAAATTAATGTAAAAAAAGAATATTTATGTTTTTTTTTTAATGTTATTTAATGTAAATAAATGGAACAATAGAAGTAGCTAACCACTAATGGTAAAGAAAAAAGCGATACGGATTGCTCAACGCCACCGTATGCAAGTGCGTACATGTGAAAATATATTGTCATTTCTCTACATAAGAATATGAAAGCAACACTTATTACTGTTCATATATGTCTTAAATAATACTTACAAGTGTAACACAAAAATTCTACTCACCAATGGTGGTAAAGTCTAAAACATAAGGACAGCCAATGTTGTTGGCCGAGTTTTTACTCAGATGACAAAGTCATCAGGTTCATCTCTGGCTGAAGCTGTAGCTTTCCATAAAGATGCCACAGCTGTTGCTGAACCTGAAGCTGTTGCTGAAGCTGTTACTGAACCTGTAGTTGTTGCTGAAGCTGCTACTGATGCTGAATTTGATGATGTAGCTGAAACTGAAGTTGATGGTGTAGCTGACCCTGAAGTTGATGGTGTAGCTGTACCTGAAGTTGATGGTGTAGCTGTACCTGAAGTTGATGGTGTAGCTGTACCTGAAGTTGATGGTGTAGCTGTACCTGAAGTTGATGGTGTAGCTGTACCTGAAGTTGATGGTGTTGTAGCTGTACCTGAAGTTGATGGTAGCTGTACCTGAAGTTGTTGGTGTAGCTGTACCTGAAGTTGATGGTGTAGCTGTACCTGAAGTTGATGGTGTAGCTGTACCTGAAGTTGATGGTGTGCTGTACCTGAAGTTGAAGGTGTAGCTGTACCTGAAGTTGATGGTAGCTGTACCTGAAGTTGAGCTGTACCTGAAGTTGATGGTGTAGCTGTACCTGAAGTTGATGGTGTAGCTGTACCTGAAGTTGATGGTGTAGCTGTACCTGAAGTTGATGGTGTAGCTGTACCTGAAGTTGATGGTGTAGCTGTACCTGAAGTTGTTGGTGTAGCTGTACCTGAAGTTGATGGTGTAGCTGTACCTGAAGTTGATGGTGTAGCTGTACCTGAAGTTGATGGTGTAGCTGTACCTGAAGTTGATGGTGTAGCTGTACCTGAAGTTGATGGTGTAGCTGTACCTGAAGTTGATGGTGTAGCTGTACCTGAAGTTGATGGTGTAGCTGTACCTGAAGTTGATGGTGTAGCTGTACCTGAAGTTGATGGTGTAGCTGTACCTGAAGTTGATGGTGTAGCTGTACCTGAAGTTGATGGTTTAGTTCTTCAAATAATAAAACTGATGAAAGAACCTTGCAGTTGTGTAAGTTGCACAGCTGCTTTCTTTTTCTTATACATCTTTATGTAGAGGTCATATGCATTTTTCACATCACTATTTGCTCCATATAATATCCATAGATCTCTCACCTTTTTATGTTGTTATAACACATCTAGTTTCTTGGCTAGGCTTATACACTTTCTTTTAGCTTTTGAACCAGCACTACCATCACTTGCTCTCTTGCTCATGTTGAATAGGGACACAAAAATGCCATAAGAAACCTGAGAAAAATTTTCTCCTGTTCACATTCGTGAAAACAAAAGGCCCGCCAAGCTGCACCTGCTTATACTAGTGATGCTGGCGTCACCACTCACAAGCCCGGCAGCTTCCATGCGCAAGGAGTGGTAATTTTTTTTTTATGATAAATATCGGGATTTACTTATTATTTACAGTGACCCCTCGTTTAACGAACGCCTCGGTTAACGAAATTTCGGTTAACGAACTGCCTTCCATAAGGATCTTCAATTCGGTTAACGAACAAAAATTCGGTTAACGAATTTCTTACGAACCGACCTCAACATGTTTTCGCTTGCACTGACCGGGCAACCAGCTTTAGTATCAGTCCGCCAATACATTAATCGGTTCTAGGGCTTAAATTCCTTACTATTTTAGTAAATATCAAGAAGTTTATACTATTCAATAATTTTAAAAGTTTAATATTCAATTTTTTAGTCATTTTAACAATTATTGAACATAATTGAA